AGGAAAAATTGTAACAACGATCTCTAACATTTCATTTTTTTTTTTTGTAAACTTTACTACAACCTTCATTCTGTGCCACCCACACCCCAAAACCTTTCAAAAATATGCACTTGGGGTCATTTCCATCCGTTTAACTGTTAGTTGACTAAGAAAAATGATTTTGACCAAATTTAGTAAGGACAAAATAGTGGCTTCATAATTGTTACATTAAATAAATAAATAAAAAATACCAAAAAGAATAAAAATAAACAATAAGTCTATTTGTACATAAGAGGTTGACAATCGAGATTGACAACCTCTCACATACGTGTGGGGTTCGCCGTCCGCATGTTTAAAAATTCAAAAAAAAAAAAAAAAGTGGACCCTTCCATTGTGAGTGCATGCCAACCTGTGTGTCAACTTTGGTTGTACAAATAGTATTGCTCAAAAATAAAAGAACAACCCATTTCCCCCTAAATCAAAACCATCCCGACCACCACACTGTCTTCCACTGTCACCACCTAGGGATGGCAACGGGGCAGGGCGGGGGACACTCCTCGCCCCCCAAGGCCCCCCGCCCTGTTACTTGTTTAAGGCGGGGTGAGGTCCTTGTCCCGTTTACTTCTCGTTTAATTTTTTTTTTTTTTTTGATTTTATTTTATTTTTGTATTTGCATTGGAATGTAGAGAAGTTGTTGTGGGTGCAATGAATACAAAAGAAAATGTTGAGAAATTGTATGGTGTAGCAATTAGAGAAGCCAATCACTTTGAAAATGTGCAATGTCCCTTGTCACCTAGGATATATTTGGTTCCCTTGTCTTGTATTTATGTGGAAAACACTTTTCGAGCATGTGAAACTGGGGCCCTTCATAAAAACTGCAAAGGTGGGTGGGAGGGAGAGAGTGAGAAATTTTGGATTTTTCAGAATTTTTGTTCTTTCCTTTACAAGATCAAAAAATATATATAAAATGTTAAATTATTAAATTTTTTAATGTCTGTGTAGAAATAGCTAAAAATTTATCCTTACAAAGTAGCCATATAAAGGTGAGATTGAAAATTTATGGCGTATTTATATTTTTGTTAGTGGACTACATTCTAAACGGAGGATGAGTAGTGAAAAATTAAGAATTCATTAAGGGGTTGCTCTCTTTGCCGTTTTCATCCAGTTTTCTGTTTTCGATTTTCCAAAATAGTGTAAACACGTTTACTTATCTATTTTCAAAAATGAATTTCCAAAAATGAGAATACGTCAAAAATGTCGTTTTGAGTGTTTTCAATTAAAAGAAAACCAAAATTTTCAAAACACTTTTTGGCTGTTTTCGATTACGCCACCAACAAAAA